TCTCTCTCTCTCTCTCTCTCTCTCTCTCTCTCTCTCTCTCTCTCTCTCACACACACACAAATTTGCCCAATTTCTGCATGTGTGCAACCGAAAGTGTTAGCATTTCAAACTTTTGCTCAATAAGATTTATATGACTGACAGTTTGGGGGATTCTAAACAACAAGCAACAAGGTTTGATTTCTGCTTCTCTTTTATTATTTTTTATTTTTTACTCGCATTCGGTCTTTTGTTTGGCGCGGGCTTTATCACTATTGTTTTTCTCCATTTTGTGGGCTTATTCAGAGCCCGCAATCGCAGTTGGTTGCATATGCGGTAAATGTTCAGTGCGAGTCTATTTCGCAAAAACTCTTTTTCGATTCGATTTAGAGATAATTTAATTTAAACAACAGAAACCGCAAATGGAGTAAAAAGTAAGAGCGCTGCTGTATCTGATTTCACTTTGTGTTTATGCTTTGAATCCATTCCGTTTAGACATGCGTTGGTATTCCATGTCTTTATCTATTACTATCATATTGTAGCAAAAGTGTAGGCTATACACGAGGATATTTTCCAAATCTCTCTCAGGTTTTGAGCTAAGAGAGAGTGTTTTGCTTTGGGAACAAAGTAGAAAAGTAAATAAGCTCAAGGTCTTCGCCCACTATATCATAATCAATTTCATCCTTATTTTCATTCATTTCGTTTGTCCAGGAGTTTCAGGTATTTATTGCTGATAATAATTGTTTGGAAGATCGCATTTGCTATGCAGTTGGTGCTGCTCGCTTCAGGCACTTAAAAATTGGCCAACAATGGAGCCAATAGGCCGATGGCCGTATTGTGTTTCGAGGTGGCTATTGAAATTACTCGAGCGGCAGCTCTGTGTGGCAGGAACGGAGCGGAGCGCATATTGTGGTACCTGTGTATTGGCATAGATGCAGCTGCCTGCGGCTGTAGGTATAGTTCCAAAATAATTGCCTGCGCTTTAAGTGCGCCATTAGTACTAAATTACAGACAACCAGCCAAGCAGCCAGGCAGTCAGCCAGCAGCTGCTGGGGCAGAGGCAGCAGCGCGGTCTAATTACGCGCTTGGAGTTCACCTGCCACCCACCAGATACTTCACACTCGACGCCCAGTGGGCGTGCCCGGCGGCAGCTGGGAGAAAGTAAAGTGCGCTAATGGCAATTAGAAGTTTACCGAGTGCAGTCAAAAACTGTAACGGCTGCCTGGCATAGCTATGCTGCATTATTGAACATTTTGCTAATTGCCGTATAATTATTGCAGTTAAAAAATTTAGCACAATTGTCGGCGGAGAGTTGGCGGCAGACAGTGGCGATGGCAGCTGGAGCTGAAATGCAATCCTTGACCGTGCGATACGTCATGGCACACTAGTTGCAGAAGAGAGAGTGAGGGACAACCACAAACAGACAGACGGGACTATATGTGGAGCACGCTGCGTATACGCAACGTATGAGCAATGCCACAAATATTTGCATTGAAGAAGCATTAGGCCAAATGGCTGCAGCCAGAGAAATAGCCAAGGCATTATGCACTCTCACCGACTCCAGCTAATGTAAATATTATGGCAAAATCTTATAATTAAGATAAGCAGTTCGGTTGAGTGGTTTTAATGAAAATCAAACATTTGCCAAGCGAAACACAAACCAAACTCCGACAGCAACACAAACTCAATTGCCCGGTCAGTCCATTGATATTCCATTTTGTCCATATGCTCAGCCAGTGGCTGCCCTGCCTCTACCCCACTGTCTGGGACAGAGGCACAACGGACTATTATAATATTTAATTAATGCCTGACCCAATGATGCTGATCCTGCTCAGTGCTCGGTGGGCAATGCATTGAGTAGTCGCCTGAAAGCACTTGCCATTCAGTCGGCTACAATGAGGCGGATATTGTGGCTATATCGATTCAGATATCGAAATTTCACAGGTTATGTTTGAATGAGTGAGCAGGAGTAGGCACATATACATAGTAGTAGCAATATCAGCTTATATTCACAAAGGCATTTCTATGGCAATTCGAGGCTTACCTAGACTGGCCAAGATCCCATTTTCCCCAAGTATTATCAGGTATTAATTCCCATTAAACACTCTGTTGAATTTTCTCAGTAATGTCAACAGTTTAATGTCAGCAATTGAGGTCGCTTTCGCAACATTATGCGTAACATGAACGTGTCGCTGGAGTCGCTTAACTTGCGGCTGTGCTGCAATAATTGAGTAACTGCATCCAGCAGTGGTGGCCCTACGCCCCGGCGAAACTGTGTCACGGCGGAAAGTACGCGACGCGACGCGGTTGACTCTCGGCTTCTTATAATTAAGCCTTAATTGAACGTTGCCAGCGTCCTTGCCGTCCCCACAGCTCCTCGCACCACACGTAAGCAAGTTAATGATGCAATCGTTTACAAGCCTTTGACACGACATGCTGCGGCCATGTGCGAACGCTAAACGCAAAACTCAATTTGCAATCGGCTCAAGTTTTGGGCTGTTTTTTTTTTTTTTCTAGACTTGCCTGGCTGCGCATAATCCGGCACAAGTTCATTAAAACGGTTGCCGGATAGGCCGGATTGCCATTCAGCATCTATGCAAGCCAACGCCCCCAAATTGTAATAAAAACGAAATACGTATATTTTATAACAACAGTCGAAAAGTTGAGCTTGCAATTTAGTGTGCATATTAACCCGATGCTCCATGCCCGCTGCCCGTTGCTCGCTGCCCGGCTCCTGCTGCCCGACTCATGCTGCCGGCTGACCGTTGGAAAAGTTACCTTTTCGCCAACTATTTAGCATAACGACATGCGCTCATTACGGGGGCCAGCTCGCATAGAAGGTGGCTCCACGGCCAGCGGCCCACGGCCCATGGCCATGACAGGCGGCAACTTTATTTGTGCCGTGTATTTGGCCCGTACGCTGCTGGAAGCCTGCCCAGAAACTGGACCCGAGTGGCGACCGGGCTAGCAGTCGCCAGGCACGTAAAATATGCGCAGCAGTACACGCTCGGTATATGCCAGAGATCACTTGACTATAAACGAGATTAAAAATTCAATTACGTTGGAGTTGGAAGCTGAACCTGAAGCTGCATCGAGCAGCAAAAGAAAAAAAAAGGGAATCAAAAAAAAAAAAATAGAGAGAGAGAGAGACAGAAAAACACCAAAAGTTGACCGAGCAAAAAGACAAACCTGGCCAAGCGAGCGCCACTCAAGTCAAAGCGCGCGATGCGAGCATGGGGCAGGAGGATGCTCGGACACGGTGTGGAGCTCAGGTTATGGGGCGGAGGATCCGGCAGCAGCACTAGAAGTGGTCAGTGCCGGCGACGTTGTCGCAGCCAACGGAAGTTGACAACAATTTATGTGCCTGAAACGGATACAATTTACAAGCCAGGCGCGGCGTACGTGTAGCTGGAATCTCAAATCAGAGGAGGAGTGCGAGAGGGTGACCCACGTGCATATATACGTGTGTGTATGCGTGTGTGTGTGTGTGTGTGTGCAGGTGTGGCCAGTGTAAAACTTCAAACGGAATTCGGTGTGAGTACTTAGTGCAAAGTGGCCACTGCGAGCTTTTTGGGGCACCCAGTTGTTAGGGCCAACACACACACAGACACACACACACACACACGCATAGCCAGAAATTGGGATAGGAATGGGAAGCTACAAAAAAAAAAGAAAGTACGAGCGCAACATTTGAATTTCATTTCAAGTTAAAGTTGATAAAATGCCAGAGATTTAGGGCGTGTCCAGGCAACGGCCACGGACATCTGTAGCATTGGCCACCCGAGCTCAAATAACGTTACATAACAAAAACAAAGAACAAATTGAGAGAATCTATATTTGTCTTCAATTAAAATTAAGCATTAATAGTAAAAGCAATCGACGTTGTTATATGATGTATGTATGTACATATATACATATATCGTATTTTTACGTCCATTCCCAAAAAAAAGAGTATTTTGCGGCTAATATGAATATATATATATATATTTTTTATTATTTTATTTTATTTATGTATTTATTTATTTATTTATTTGTTTATTTATTTATTTATTTATTTATTTATTTATTTATTTATTTATTTATTTATTT